TGCCACACCAGCACCCCATAGACACACATATATTATTTATATATATAAAGCACCTATCGTCATATCAATAAACATTATTTGGAACCACTCTGACAGCAGCGCTAAGAACAGGAGTCAGCCTGTCAGTACCTCAGCACTTCTGTTTCCAAGCAATTCAAAAAATAAAAACAAGCCAACAAACAGAAAGCCACAAGACTTTGCAGGCAGCCCTGCCCGGCTGGTGTTTAACGCTGCTGCTCCATCGGGCTTGGAAGGAGACCTGTGAACGTCAGCCAGGATGCTCCTGCTTGGAACGAACACCAGGACAACACCCCCAGAGCCCGCTCGGCCGCCACTGCGGGACCCGATGGGTGAAATCCCGGAGAGCTTGTCCTCATCCCTCCCCACCCAAACAATTTATCTCTACACTTGGAAATTTCACGCTCATTTATTGGCTTCCTCCTCCTTCTCCTCTCCCTTTCTCAAGAGGGTTGTTGTCTTCTGTCTTCTTCCCTGAGAGCGTCTCTCTGCCCTCACAGGGAAAAACTTTTTCCCTATATCTAATCTAAATCTCCCCTATTTCAGTTTCAAGCCATTACCCCTTGTCCTATCACCACACACCCTTGTAAAAAGTCCCTCCCGAAATTCCTGGAGCCCCCTTTATGCACTGGAAGGCCACTGTGACTGTACAATAAGGTACATCCACCCCATGGCAGCCCAAAGGAGGAAGTTTTTTTCTCCGTATGCTTTCTTGTGTCAGGAACGCCCCTCTGGCTTTCTCACAAGTAATTACCTTTTTGGCAGCACATTGAAATCCCGTCTGTTTGTCCTCTATTTTGTATACTTCTCCAAAAGAGCCAATGCCCAGAGAACCGTGGCACTTGGTCCAATGAACTTCTTCTCGATATTCATAATCCACTGGCTTTAGTTTCTGGAAGTTAAAAATCGGAAATCAAGATGAAGCAAGGATAGAAACGCTTAACTGCTGAGCTCCACAGGGAAACCAAGACTTTCAAAAAAGTAAAATGATGGTCACCGCCACACTTCTCTAAAAATCCCTGTACAAATGGCTTCTGTCACGGGCTCGAAGTGGAACAATACAGGAGGACCTATTTTACTGCTGTGGGCTCTGATTTAAATGAGGGCACCCCATCGTTGTATAGAAAGGCCACCAGTATTTGGGCAGCTTTGGAGCTCCAAACCATTCCCTTCTCACGCAGGACCTAGCTACGAAGCTAAATCCTTCAAACAACGTAAGATTCACACGACTAGATGTAGACATCTCCGCGTGAGCTAAATCTTTCTTTACAGGCAGCGGACCGAGATTGTGCTTTAGGCAGAGATGTATTCAGGCAGGTAAGTGACACCCTGAACTCCACCGACAACACCGATTCCAGAGAAGTGTCCTCTCCGAGGAGTTTCAGCTGGCGAGAGAGAGCTGAATTCAGGAGAAATGAATCATGCCTCTGAGATTCACACGCGTTTGCTGTGTGCAAGCCCTGCATTTGGCAAGGGACACCGGGCGAGCTTGCTGGCTTCCCACCAGAGGCAGCACGGATGCTTTCTGCACCCTCACGAGCTGCGCAGCTCTGGTTTCTGTCTGCGGAGCAGCTGGGGTCACCTATGGCAAATAAAACCGTGCAACCTGCTCACCCGTACAGACCAGGCCCTTTCTCAGACAGACATGTTTGAAGTCTGACTAAACACAGAAACACTTTTTAGATGAGCATGTATACGAATAAGCAAACAAATTGGAGCCACCCATCTAAGACGGGGCTTTACATCCTTCAAAAACCAAAACCATGTCTTTAACCGGCGGTCTTTGACCATAGCAAAACCATTCAGAAAGCACAGGCGTGTTACAGAAGCTGGCTCGCGGGTGCGGATTATCTCCCTTCCGAAGCCCGGGAGAAACTCTGCCTACTGCGACACTCGTGCGTAGGGTCAGGAGATCACCTCATTGAGCAGCACGCCTTCGTTATCGTTCGCTTCATTAAACTGTTCCTTCAGGTCCAGACCACCTCCTCTCCATGTCTTGGCTAGGCTGGCTAAATTTTGGGGTTCACCGAGACTCACGCTCCCCTTCAGGGCATCTATCAAGTATTCTTCCACAGAAATCTTGTCCGAGCTGGTTTTCATGGACTGGTTGATGCATTTGGGGAAACTATATTCTAAGTTTAGGCTGGATAAGCGATGCTCACTGTCGTGATAGTTGAGATCGCCGTGGAAGTAGGTCTCCAGGGCGTTACGTTTCAAGGCATGGAAAGGAGTGTCCAGATGTGGGAAATGAGGGGGTACTATGTTGTAGGGAAGAGGATGGAGAGTCTCGGGCTGTGGAACGCTGTCCTTCTGATAACGCCGTTTCCAAACGTGATTAAGGCACTGAATAGGGCTTATCAGCTTGTGCAGTTCTGTTTTGTATTGGCTCCTTGGCGAATGGGGTTTGCCCGGCGACAGACTTTGCTCCGGTTTCTCAAACGGCGGCGGATCGTAGACCAAACCCTTGTTAAATTCCGAAGCCCAAAAATGGTTCCTGTAAAGACTACTTTGATGCGATTCATCCTCCTAGAAAAGAAAACAGGACAGCTGAGCAGGAACCTCAACGCAGGCGCCCAAAATTCCACCAAGAACCCTCAAGAGTTTGCAGGGGGCTCAGGAATACAAAAGGATCCTCACCTGGACAGGGATTGGGGTGCAGCTCTCTTGCTCTGGCGTCCTGGGGCCTCGTCTGCCAGCAGCCACCGTCTGTACTTTCAGCTTGGATCTTTTCTTGTGCCGTTTCTTTTTCGTCTTGCCCCGATGCCTCCCCCTCCAACAGGTAGGTGCCATCTTCCCCTCCGTCGCATGGGCCACATTGTTGGGGATTTGATCGAGGCTGTCGGACCGGCTGTCAGGAACCAAAACGCGCGAAACCGCTTAGATCCGACAGCAAAAAGCTCACCTCCCGTTCACAGTTACAACCCACAGAACCAGAACGAGAATCAGCAGTTTTGCCTTCCGGGATTTAAAGACTAGAGAACATAATTTCGTGGTAGTGAAGTTACAAATGCCATTAGAAAATAGCATTTGTAACTTCACCACCAAGGCACATCGGGCATTTTAAGATGGAAATACGGGGTGTGGGGGTGGGAAACAAAGCATTAAGTCTCCCGTCACTTGCAAATTCTGCAAGGAACAGCAAAACTAGAGAGCAAAGCAGAGGGAAAACCATTGAATGTCTCCAGGTTGCTTTGAGACAGTTTGTATTTACGATTTGCAATGAAGACGGAGATTACGAGTACGTGTGACCTATTTAAAAATATATTAAAATTATTAACGGTGCTCGTACTATAAACATTTGCTCTAGTGAAAGAAAAATAGCCTTTGCACCAAAGGAAAGGGATGACTGAGCACAGTGCAGTAGAACAGCTCCAAAAAGTCAAAACGTTTTGGAATGCAAAGCTCGAAAGTACAACAGGATTTCTGGGAACGCATACATATACAAAACAGCACTGGCCAGCACACCAGCTGGGGGTCTGTGCGAAGGGACACGACTCTCAAGAGGGACATTTGTCTGCAGTTATTTCATACTGACCACAGTAGCTAGAATTTATTTTTTTAATCAAGTTGTAAGAGAAAATAGGGTGTGAAATCGCAGTTGTCCTGTCGATCCATCCAACCAGTGACCGGCAGCCAGCGCTGCTCTGCCCCCCTACTCCTGCTGTCTCAGCGCACCACGGAGCGCCGCCAGATCCCGCGAGCAGCGCTCCCCTCCATGGCGTCACCCTAAGAAACGGTTCGCTCGGCATCTCCTCAGCTGGTTCACGGGACAACGGCATAAAGCCAGCAGGCAGCCTCAAACCAAATACCTCCCCAGGCCAGATTCCGTGTCGGAAAGCTGCCAGGAGACAGGCAGCGCCGATGCCTACATCCCAGTCGCCCACCTCAGAGAGAACTGGAGCCACCCCATGAAGCCCCAGTGCTTAATAAAGCTCCAGTAGGTGCCCCAGTAAGGCACAGACGTGTTCCTCGTGAGGAAAAGTCCCTCTCAGGTGCCTGTAGAAAAGCAAGTCCCAGGCCTCCACTTTTCTACCACAACTGTTACTTCCCCGTTACCACTTTCAGCTCCTCTTCACATCTCCGTTTCTGTCGCTGACGCTGTCATTAAGCAAACGTTCTTTTTCTCTCATGCCCTGATGTTTATCCTCCCCAGAAATGAAGCTGTTCCTTTCCTCAGGACTGCTCCTAGCAGCAGCCTGGGTTTCCCGCAGCTTTTCAAACAATGTAATAAGGTTTCAAAACTATCAGGAGAGTTCAGTTTAAAAAGACCGAAAATTTTCACCTGGATCTTTCTACCTTAAGCCCATGCACCTCAAAAAAAAAAGAAAAAAAAAGGAAAAGACTCAGTCATTTCAAAGCAAATTTGAAATGGAAGCAGAACACTACGAGGGCCAGTAAATCAGACAAGAGAATGCAAGGGGTTTTGAGTGATTTGTGCTTAAACTTCTCTTTTCTCTCAAAACAAATAGGTTTCGAGGAAGATGTTTGGGGAAAGGCACGCTCCTCCCGAGCCTCGGACAGAAAAGCTAATCTAAACAGGAGTGGTTTTGGAAAAAATAAAATCCTGTAAGCACACAGAGCCAGGGTGAGTTGGAACAAGTCAGCACACACAGCAGGGAGGGTGGGGATTCACGTGAAAAGGTCTCTCACCTGTAACGCTTACTATGAGCAATAAAGGATCTCTCTGACAAAGTGGGGCTGAACTCCTGACTGTTTTCACCTGTGTGAAAGAAAATAGGATCGTCACATGTCTTCACCATGAAGCCAAGCCTCTCCTGGTAACGACTGGACGCAGAAAAAACTCCACCAACTCGCTAAATTGAACGGCGATCCGGATGAATCGCCGCATCGCCCACCCCAGGCTCCTTCTCCCCCAGCACTCCGACCTCCTCATCCCGCACCTGACAGCTTTTGTTTTGGTTTTCTTCTCTTTTTCCACCCCCCTTGGTCTTTTAAAACACCTCTCAGAAGTCAGCCAAGAACAGAAGACCCAGCAGGACTGATGGTCGAAGCAGCTAGGTGCGACGGCCACGTGCTGTTGTGTTATTTATGCTTTACTCGGTGGATGCCACCACGGTATTAGGAGATTTCAGGAGCTTCCTAAATCGAGACTGGGATGTGTCATCAGCTCCACCCCGCTTGGGATTACAAATAGATTTCGTCTCAGCTCTCCAGGAGCGCGAGGCGAGTGAAACCTCGTCTTGCGTTACACATTCCTTTTTCTCAATGGAGCGCAGGCTGCCCTGCTACTTACATTCTGCTTGGGCAATGATCGAAATCGATGCACAGCCTCCTTCTGTCTCTTCTTTTGCTGTTCCTTTGGTGATGACATCATTCAGGATTTTCCACTGACTGTGAAAGATGACCTTCTTTGAATCTTCTACTTTGCAAACGCTGCTCTGCTTCTCGCTCGCTGTCTCGTCCAGCCCCTTGGTAGCTGCGAGCTCCTTCTTGTGCTTGATGGCTGGATCAGGAGCTCCTTGGCACGTAATCCCCATCACTGCCATCTCACAGGTTCAGAGAGTCACTGAGGAAGGACCAAAAAAAAGAGCAAAACACTCGTCAAAACACTTCACAGGCAGAAGCAGCTTCAAGAGAAACAGGAGGCAGCAGGTGACTAAATAAATTAAACCAAATCGAGGTCCTGCCCAACCTCCGAGCATGGAGCTACCCAAACCTGCCAGCTCCATGTCCCTCACTTGTGCCACTGAGGAGCTAAGGGTCAACTTTATTTTCAGTACTAAAAATATGAGACCACGCAGGTTTCAAAGGGAAATTTATTTCTTGGTGTATTCCATAAATACAAGCAGTGAAACCATTTGTAAGAGGGAACTCCTGTATCACTAAACAGGAAGAATATTCACATAGAAAAGAAAAAAAAAAAAAAAGAAAGATTTTCTCCTCGAGTGCACCAAGGAGAAATTACATTGGGCTCTTACACCACATAAACCGGCCATAAAATCCCGCTAATTGCTTTCTTCCTTGTACTCAGCCACCCTCGAATCCATTTCTCGTTTTTCCTTCCCGTGGAACAAGGCGAGGCAATCAGCCTGCCCACCCATAATCCCTCCCTCGCTCCCCTTCCTCTCCTTCATCACTTTTGAAATCCTCTGTTAAGCCCGACAAAAGTTTCCCTCTCACGGTGAATCGGCAACTTGGTGTCGGGTAGAGGAGGGGGACGGCGCTGGAAAAGATGATCCCCTTGGCAGGCTGCGAGCTGAGCAGGTCGTGAAAGTGCAGCTCCGAACACGTCCCGGCACAAGCCGAATCTTGGCCAGTTGGCAACGGAGAGGGCGGTGGAAGGGAGCCAGGGGTGGAAAATAAAGAAGCATGGAAGCAAGGCGCCGCAGGACAGGAGCAGGGTTTATCGTGGGGTAAGATTGAGGAGCGTGGAGAGTCAGGAGTTCTCTACAACCACTCGGGCCACGAGCCCACAGGAGATACGGCTTTGGTGCAGCCCCTGATCCCCTCACCCTGGATTCCAGAAATTTTAAAACAGTTGTTATCTATTAAGCCAGAATAGTTGGCCCTTAACTGTAAAGGTGACTTCCTCATGTTGGTCCTCTCACAGCTCAAGTGCAAATACCTTACAATGAACGTTTCCATCATTAAACAACCCAGAAAAATTCAGAAGACTTAGCAAGCACGTACGGGTGTTCGGTGTCACAAACCCAGGATAAGACGAGGAGGGACACCAGCCTGGAAAAGGGAAAGCTCTGGGGAGACCTGACAGCGGGCTGCCAGCGCTCACAGGGGCTGCAGGACAGGTGGGGAGGGAGCCTTGATGAGCGAATGTAGGGATGGGATGAGGCGGAATGGTTTCAAACTGAAAGAGGATATTTAGATCAGGTATTAGGAAGAAATTCTAACCTGCAAGGGTGGTGAGACCCTGGCCCGGGTTGCCCAGAGCAGCTGTGGATGCCCCATCCCTGGCAGTGCCCAAGGCCAGGTTGGCCGGGGCTTGGAGCGACCTGGGCTGGTGGGGGTGGTCCCTGCCCATGGCCGGGG